CAGAGGGTCACCAGGGTGGGAGGCCCCAGGTACAGAGGGTCACCAGGGTGGGAGGCCCCAGGTACAGAAGGTCACCAGGGCGGGAGGCCCCAGGTACAGAAGGTCACCAGGGTGGGAAGCCCCAGGTACAGAAGGTCACCAGGGTGGGAGGCCCCAGGTACAGAAGGTCACCGGGGCAGGAAGCCCCAGGTACAGAGGGTCACCAGGGCAGGAAGCCCCAGGTACAGAGGGTCACCAGGGCGGGAAGCCCCAGGTACAGAAGGTCACCAGGGTGGGAGGCCCCAGGTACAGAGGGTCACCAGGGCGGGAGGCCCCAGGTACAGAGAGTCACCAGGGTGGGAGGCCCCAGGTACAGAAGGTCACCAGAGCAGGAAGCCCCAGGTACAGAAGGTCACCGGGGCAGGAAGCCCCAGGTACAGAGGGTCACCAGGGTGGGAGGCCCCAGGTACAGAGGGTCACCAGGGTGGGAGGCCCCAGGTACAGAAGGTCACCAGGGTGGGAGGCCCCAGGTACAGAGGGTCACCAGAGCAGGAAGCCCCAGGTACAGAAGGTCACCGGGGCAGGAAGCCCCAGGTACAGAGGGTCACCAGGGCAGGAAGCCCCAGGTACAGAGGGTCACCAGGGCAGGAAGCCCCAGGTACAGAGGGTCACCGGGGCGGGAAGCCCCAGGTACAGAGGGTCACCAGGGCGGGAGGCCCCAGGTACAGAGGGTCACCGGGGCGGGAGGCCCCAGGTACAGAGGGTCACCGGGGCGGGAGGCCCCAGGTACAGAAGGTCACCGGGGCGGGAAGCCCCAGGTGCCTAACAATGGGAAAAACTGGAAAAAGAAGGTCCTCACCCCCAAGGTAACCTTCCCTCCCTTAGCATATGCTTTAGACCTCCTGACGTTTCCTCCCTAGAGAGAACATCTAGGCTCAGTTGTGTTTCAGCTCCAGGCCCAGAGCAGCAGCAAAATCAGGCAAAGAACCAGAAGCACTGAATCATGACCCCTGCCCTGGCGCTGACCAATCAATCAGTGGAGACCCCAACCCTGAAAGGACACACCAGGAAAGCTGCTGAATATTCTATTGAGGTCCTCCCCTGGGACCTCCCCTAAAATCTCCCCCTTAAACCCTTAGGACAGAGGACCCAGCACACTGCTCCTCGCGGGAGTGCCCTCACGCCTTCCCCCTCCCGGTACCCCATCCCCTCCCGGTACCCCATCCCCTCCACTTCCCCCAAGGCCCTTCTTTTGCCTCTGTAACTTTTCCCTGAGCCCATTTCTTCTACCACTCATGCCTTCCACCTCTGTGATCTTCTAAATAAATGTTCTCTTACAGTCTGAGTCTTGGCTCTGAATTCTTTCCTAGCTGGAGCTCAAGTACTGCGGTTGCTAAACCCAGGTCTGGTCTGACCCTCTGGTCGAACACCTGGAGCTGTTCTCACCACCGCCAGCACTATTAACCCCTGGCTGAGCCGGGGCTTCCCGTGTTCCCACAGATACAGCCCAGCCCCCATCATATTCTTTACTGTTTACCTGTTACTTTAGCCGCTTGAAAATGACACATGAATCTTAAACCAGGCTCAAATCTCTCTATAAAAATCTTAAAGGGTCATTTCAATGACTAGATCTACATAAAAGACGGCCATTTTAGAAAAAGCTCTAATTCTGAATCATCCTGTAAAATCTCCAGTTCTTTCATGTCACTGAAACAGTTTAGCCTAAAACTAGTTGGTTCGATAATTAAATAAGAAATGCTAACTAAAGTTTTACCTAGCCAGAAACTCCCAGTAGAAACAAGACAGGGCAGAGTAAAACAAATCAAGTGCCAAGGCACTACTTTTTGTTGGTTCGCAATGGCATCATCCATTAAATCTTTCTTTGTCTTCTCTACTCAATAAAATGAAGGCCACAGGGAACCAGCGGGAGTGGGTGATCAAAGTGGGGCACAATGCCTTCCTCGCTCCTAGCAGCTCCTCCTTTAGTACTTTGGAGAAGAAAAGCCCAGGGCGTCAGCTGTCTGTCAGCAGGTGAGAGAAGCCGACCTTTTAAGTGCTTGATGACAAGCTAAACTGAAACCGATGAACCAGCACAAACCTCAGAAGGGTCTGAATCCACACTTAGAAAATCAAGATGAGTGAGCAAACAGCTCCTAAGCCAAATGTGGATGTGCATGTATCATATATGCTTACGTACCTGATTAAAAAGAAAATGAGAAGAGCAACAACCATTATTTAACTTTCCTGATTTGGGGTTTCTCTCAAGATTTCTCCGTGACTCTGACGTTGGTTACATGTTAAATATAATATGTTGATACCGATAACATTTTTCTAATACATAAATTAGCTTCTGTATACCAATTAAGATTGACTTGTATCTTAGGCCTTAAAATTATTAAAATGAGAGAGTGACAGTATGCCAAAATAGGAACACATTTTAATTAAAAAAATAAAATAAACCTTGTCTAAAAGCAAAAAATGCAAAGCTAAAATAACACATGGAATATAGCCCGGCCAGAGTGGCTCAGTGGTTGAGTGTTGACCCATATGCCAAGAGGTCGCCAGTTCGATTCCCTGTCAGGGCACACGCCCAGGTTTGACCCAAGCCGCAGTGGGGAGCATGTAGGAGGCGGCCAATTGATGTTCTCTCTCATCAGTGTTTCTTTTTTTCTTTTTTTTTTATCCTCACCCGAGGACATTTCTCCATTTTTTATTCAGACAGAGCGGGAGGGAGAGAGAGAGAGAGAGAAACATCGACATGAAAGGGACACATCGACTGGCTGCCACCCACAGGACCCAACCAGGGCCAGGGACAAACTGCAACCAAAGTACATGCCCTTATCGGGAACTGAACCCGGGTCTCTCTGGACCGCAGGCCAACGCTCTAACCACTGAGCCAAACCAGCCAGGGCTCTCATCAATGTTTCTATCTCCCTCTCCCTTCCTCTCTAAAATCAATAAAGAAAAAAGGAATTAAAATTTAAAATAACAATGTGAAAGAAGGACAAATTAGAGATTTGATGTTTAACTTAGTTAAAATTATAGTTATGTTGGTTAGGTGACAAATGATGTGGATGATTGATTTTTTTTTACAGTGATTTGAACTGATATCTTAGCATATCAAAAACTTAGGTATAGAGGCTTATGACACAGTGAACACGGTACTCTGTGGTTGTTTTGTTTTTGTGTTTGTTTGTTTGTTTGTTGTTTTTATTTTTTTTATTGTTTTATTTATTTATTTATTTATTTTATTTATTTATTTATTTTTTTAATCCTCATCCGAGGACATTTTTTCCATTTTTTGCACAGAGTGGGAGGGAGAGAGAGGAAGAGAGAGAGAGGGAAACATCGATGTGAAAGGGACACATCGAGTGGCTGCCATCCGCACAACCAACCAGGGCCGGGGACAAACTGCAACCGAGGTACGTGCCCTTAGCGGGAACCGAACCCGGGTCTCTCCAGACCGCAGGCGGACGCTCTAACCGCTGAGCCAAACCGGCCAGGGCTTGTTTGTTGTTTTTATAATTATAACTTTGGTTAGCCAAGTAAAATTGTTTTTCTCCACTCAATGAAATGGGAATAGGTATGCCGTTTTTCTAAGTCTGGTTCTTCAGTCTTCCCTTTTCATAGATCCTTCAATGTTTAATCAGCTTACGCTGGGATTGTGACCCAGTCTGAGCAAAACTGGCTTCTGTTTTGTCTCTTGATTATTTGCAATAACTCAGGATGGGGAGTTCACTCTTTTGTCTCAGTTGCCGTTCTTGAATTCTCTTAGAAGGCTAAACAGGAACACTGCAGATGCAAAAGGATGTAATTTCAGAGAATCAGGGAAAGTTAATGAAACTTTCTAAAAGCTGAATGGAAACCCTAAATAAGTTTAAAAAAAAAAAGCAAAAGAAGACAATGTGACTCAAAAGGCCTTAATTTAAAAGCAAATGCTTGCAAACCCAAGTATGAGAGGCTCTGCGCAACCAGTAGTTCTCAGCTAGTAATGATTTTGCCACCCAGGCGACATTGAGCAACATGTGGAGTCTTTGATGATCATCACAGCTGGGAGGAGGGTGCTGCTGGCATCTAATGAGTAGAAAACCAGGATGCTGCTGAACATCCTAAATATACGTAACAGCACCCCACAACAAAGAATTCTCTGGCTGAAAATGTCAATAGTGCCAAGGTTGGAAAACCCTGCCCTACACAATTATCTCCCTTTAAAGCAGGTGTAAATAAATGCTGCCCAGAGCTAGAACTCTCCCAGAGTCCGCAATACCTAATACTGTTCTAATTGCCTCTGAAACCGCATTTCTACCCGAATGTGCAAAGAGAGTCTCAGAATGCATCTGTCAATATCACAATCCACCTAAGAACTACACAGGTGGGAAACAAACTGAATAAGAATAAATAAGGAGAAGGAATGAGCATGGGCAAAGAGCTGGGAAGGGTCCGGTGACCCGAGGGAGTGACGGGCCACCCAGGGTGAACACTGTTGTGTCCATAGCCACAAAGGCTGGGAAATAAAACTATAAAAAATGCTATGCTCAGAATCCAAAGTGTCTTATACATCACATAAGTTCACACTTTACTCTCTGAATAACAATAATTCTTTAAGAAAAAAATTGTAAGTGGGGTACAGAAATATGTTGTTGCTTAGGGAGAAAAGTCTCTGGTGAAGACCTGACATGAGCAGACCTGCTAACAGGGAAGTCAGGAGACAGCTTCAATCGTACAAGAGCTAAATTTAGAATGACTGGATGAAGGCGATGGCAGTGCAGATGGAAAACAGAGGCCAGAGAGGAACTGAACATTTTCTTAGAGATTTCCAGTACTGTAACATATCAATGGAAGAGATAAAAGCACTTCAAATGAGTTGCAGTCCTGTGTCCAAAGTGCATGAACAGAAACATATGGTAACATGTCAATGGATTTAGATAATTAAAGGTTATACAACGATCCTGTATGCTATTTAAATTATTTCTGTAGGACTACTGAATAACATATACTGTACAGAAAATGTATGACATTACCTGCTCCAGGACTTCTTTATAGGTAATAGTTGCTTTCGTATTTGTGACAGGACTGTCATAGATGATAGCAATCTTATCTCCTTTCCCGTTTTCAATATGACGATCAATGGCATTATAACAAATGTTAAGCATCCCTTCCACAAACCTGAAAAATAATTGGAAAGTAAAAGTAAATGACTCTTTTCAAAAGTTGTAGTTGCGCCCTGGCCGGTTTGGCTCAGCAGTTAGAGTGTTGGCCTGTGGTCCACAGAGACCCAGGTTCAGTTCCCGCTAAGGGCGCGTACCTCGGTTGCAGTTTGTCCCCGGCCCTGGTTGGGTCGTGCGGGAGGCAGCCACTCGATGTGTCCCTTTCATGTCAATGTTTCTCTCTCTCTTTTCCTCTCTCCCTCCCACTCTACCTGAACAAAAATGGAAAAATGTCCTCAGATGAGGATATAAAAAAAAAAATGTAGTTGTTTAACTAGGTTTGTATATTTCTAGTTTGGCAGAACTGCCCTTAAAACAGTGCTTCCTTGTGCATGTTACGGCAGGAAATGATAGCTATAAACTAGATAGGTAAGATGGTACCAAAGTGACATTTTTATTTTAATAAATAGGTATTTATTTTGATGGGCACTAAAAAAAAACACCTACTATATCTAGGTGACATCTTTGTGGTTTTTATTGCTTGGATGAAACTAGAGTATAGAGCAATAAAATTACCTACATGGATGAAATGAGCGATATATAAATGTAGCACAGAAACAGTGGGCTGAGGGAGCAAACAAATGGTAGATGTATGACTGAAGGTTGGGTACCTGTTGTTTAAAAAAACAAAAACAACTTACTGGAAAATTCAAGTCTTCTTTGAAAAGTATCTATATTGATAGGTGGATAGATAGATAGACAGATAATACATTAGTTTCAATTAAATACACTGCCTCCAGCCCTAGCCAGTTTTGCTCAGTGGTTAGAGCATTGGCCCTTGGACCAATGAGTCATGAGTCTGATTCCGGTCAAGGGCACATACCTCAGTTATGGTGCTTCCTTGGCCCTAGTGTTGTGTGGGAGGCAACCAGTTGTTGTGTCTCTTTCACATCGATATTTATCTCTCTCTCTCTCCCTCCTTCCCTCCCATTCTATCTCTCTCCACATGTTGGAAATGCTTTGTAATTTGAATAAAGAATGGATATGCACATACAATTTTAATTAAAATAATTTTTTGCAATTCAGTACTCTTCACCTGTTAATTGACCAATGCCTTCCTTTGAAAATACAGACATCCTGTAGATAGATGGGGATACTTTTTAAGAAAATATAACTCATTTTTATGAAAAGAAAAACTAATTATTTACTACTTTTTGAGGCAGTGGGGATTAGAATGAAAATACAAGCACAACAATGATCTATTTGTTAGACTAGCAAACATTATAACAATGCCAAATAACAGGAAATAAATATTAAAACAACAAGTAAAAGTCCTGTTAAATAGCTGAGCGTCACCTTCTGGTCTTCACTCAAAGAGTCTCGTATGACTTTAAGCAGGGAATTAAGAACAACTAGTAAAAGGGCAAACATCTGTAATACTTTTAAAATAATAATAAAAAAAGAACAGATACAGACACAGCAGTAGCATGAAGAAGTAATAGATTCGGAAGGCAACAGGAGGAGGGATCATTTCATCACAATCAAATGACACTAAATATTTGAATAATACTGAATATGACTACTTTACAGCACAGCACAAGAAGTAATTAATAAAATCATTCTGAATTATCAAGTGTGAGAGCTTCTCTATTTGTTCAAAACTATTCTCTTCCCCTCACCCCACCTCCTGGAGTGAAGAACAATTCCCTTGGTTTTGGGCTCATCCATTGACTTGCTTTGGCTAATCAGCAAACAGAGACCTAAAAGCACGTGAACAATTGAGTTTGCTTTCCTGCACCTCTGCTTTCTCCAGGAGAAGAGTCTCCAGGTATTACTGCTGACTCCTCCTCAGCCTGGAGCCCAGAATGAATATTGGCAGTTGGAAACAGTGCCCAAAAGAAGCAGGGAGCTCACCCAGCCAGATACATGTCTTGGAGCAAAATTTTCAGTTACACGTATCCTAGATCAGCTGACCCCATGACTACCTACAGCTATGTGGATATAACTGCTGAACATTTCATGATTTGGAGATTTTTATGGTTATTTGATATGCAGCATGATTGTAACCATAATTAACTAATACACCAAGAAAACAGTAAAGTTTACTCAATGTCTATGGCAAAAGTAAGATAAGATGCTTTATAAAAATTTCCGACAAGATATTTATGTGGTTTCTCTTTATTTTTTGCTTTTGTTTCAGATAAGAACACATGGAAGACTGACTTGCTGGAACATGCCTTGATGTCATTATTCTTTTTCCCTTTATCTACAGCTTCTACACTACCACTCTTTGTGCTCAATATTTACTTATTTTTATATTTTATTTATTTTTTATTTTTTTCATTTACCTTCAGATAGAGTGGGAGGGAGAGAGAGGGAGAGAAATGGAGAGAGAGAGGAACATTGATGTGAGGGGGACACATCAACTGGTTGCTTCCCGCACAACCCCAACAAGGGCCAGGGACAAACTGCAATTGAGATGCGTGCCCTTAACCAGAATCAAACCCGAGACTCATTGGTCCATGGGCTGATGCTCTACAATTAAGCCAAACTGGCCAGGGCTGGGCTGTGCTCAATATTTAATCATGTTTATGACATGTCACAAAAAGAGGCCCTCTCAAACCCAAATATTCATGAAAAATTTACTTTATCATTTGCCTTATTGTTCTCCTATCTCTCACCTGCTCCTTATCAACATCTTTTGGAGGAGGTCATCAAGAGGATAAGACTGCTGGTTGATTCTGGAGGTCAACCAAGACAATCGGAGGCTCTTCACTCTCTCCCCTGTCTCTGCGATGTATGTCACACCTACTATTCCCAAACTAGCAGCCTTTTCAAAGCCATAAGCTTGAGAGAAACTTTTTAAGGACATAACCTTGAGAAAGTAGGGTGTTGAGATCATTCGTACTAAATACATGACTGACCCCAGTTAATGCTTCTATATACATGTTTAAGATTCTGGTGGATGGGTGTAGAGATCCACTCATCTTGGAGCTACCTAAGAAAAGCCTGGTAAGTAAGTTCCCTTGCTTATTAAACCTGCCACCGACCAATCTGGAATGACCTGCCTCTTTCTTGGTTTCTCCCTGCCTTCTGTGTGTAGGAGTCGGTTTGCAAACCAACAATATCTTTCATGGAATCTTCTTCCTTAGTCAAATTCAATAGTACGTTCCAACATTCTATATCCATTCTTTTACTCACTCTACATACATTCTCTAAGTGATCTCTATGCTTCAAAGGTTTCAACCTCCAACTTTAGCCCTAGCCCTGATCTCCTTTCTGAGTTCTGTACCCTTATAGCCAATTGCCTGCTGGACATTTATCCTTGGAAAGAATATGTCCTAATTATAATCATTTTCAGCCAGCCTCCAACTCACAACCCATCCTGTCAGTCTAAAATACAACAACCAGTTCAAGAGGCAAAAGTATTTGTTTGGGATGCAAGCATTACAGTTTTCAGGGTAAACAGATTTAGGTAGAAACACAAATAATGTCTGGATTACAGAAGAGGGAATCATGTTTTTTTATGAAAAAAAAAAAAGAAAAGAAAAGAAAAAGTTGAGGTAAGTTGTTTTTAAAAGAGTCCATTGGTACTGACAAAGCTAGATTTGTACTTCATTGATTAGTCGGGTGAAGTGGTCACTAGGTAAAAGTTCACTTCTATCAGTCATATCAACAGGAAACTTTCATTCTGGTGGATATGGAATGTGAGTGGTTTGGCCCAGTTCAGAGGTTCAGAAAGCAGACATGCAAGGCAGTTCCTCGGTAGTGGCTCCTCCAGCTACATTTTAAAATGACTCCAATTATGTCAATTTTCATATTTCTCTCTTTAGATCAGGTATTTTTTTCAAAAGCATCACTGATCAATCATTGGAGTGGATTTTCTCATGTGTTCACATTGTGATCCCCTGTCACCGGGAAGACTCATTCCTGGTATGTCATAGTCCATGTAGGAAGGAAAAGTGGTTTTCTTGGTAGCTTTAGGCCACATTTGAGCAACAAGAGCTCCAGAACAGAGGAAGGCTTGCCTTCCAGTCCTATAAAGTAAACAAAAGCTAGTGAAGTTCATCATAGGTATTCAAGTAATTTTCAATTTGTCTTTTAATTGTCCATCTAAGGTCCTATATGGATTAGAAATACATTCAAAACGTTGTACTACCATTACTCTTGTGGAGTTCGTACAGCATTATGAAGACAGTAGATGCACAATGATAGTGATTATTCCTAATATTAAGAACAGGACACTAATTCCAAATTGTAGGATAATTCTAAACCATAAAGCTATCCCTTTTAAACAGGTCAAAAGACCAAAAACTTTCTAAAGGTACTTATAACCAGTGGGCTTATTTTATGATTTTGCACAGTGTTTCAATCAATCCTGAAGAACTTATTTCAAATACACAAGTGGTGACACAGACACCACCTTGTTTTGCTAGACTATAGTTGAAAGCAATTCAGTTATCTGAAACAACTTGAGTAAGTAAATGTAAAGATATTTCTAGAGCAGCCATGGTTTTGGTGACAAATTCAGCAATATCCCCTAAAGTTTTATTTTTATTTATTTATTTTAATATGGTTTTACTGGTTTTTAGAGAGAGAGGAAGGGGGAGAGAGCTAAAAACATTGATGCCTCCTGCATGCCCCCCACCAGGTACTGAGCCTGCAACCCAGGCATGTGCCCTGACCGGGAATCGAACCAGGACCTCTCAGTCCATGGGGCAATGCTCAGTCCACTGAGCCACACTAGCTGGTCTCCCCTCAAGTGTTAGACACATTTCTGACCATATATTAATATATATCGATACCCCATCATTGAAGTAAAATTCTGAAAAATCTTATTCCTTTATTGCCAGAGACATCACCTGGCAATTCTCATTTTATTCTGTGATGTAAATTTAAGGGTGATGACCAGTGCTGAGTCCTTGTTTGACTACGTAATGAAATAGATGTAACCAATAATCCAGCTGTGCAGTAACTTCCCAATAGATGAGAATTTAAGCAACTCCCCCATAGATTTTT